ATTTTAGTATGGCTGACTTTTCCTTGTTATCAGATTTCAGTTTAAGTGTTACATCCTCAGTGAAATCTTCTCCAACTACCCAGTTTAAAGTTTTCTTTCATGTCTGTACTATTTTCATCAGAGTCCTCTTGGCTGTTTTTACTATTGTTTATGTATTTTTCTGTTTATTTCATTAAAATATAAGCTTTGAGCAGATAGGAATGTGGTCTGATTTGTGTATGACTCTAAATATGTATATATTTTCACTTTGGATTATCAACCAAGTACTTAGAAATTTTCTGGGGTCTGTTTGAGCAAGGAGTAAATAGTAAATGGGCTTTTAGAATGTGGAGCTATCCAGAGCTATCTTGAAACAAAATGGATTTGTTTCAAGAATAATGGAGGGAAGAAACCTGCCTGTGTCTTGTATCAGAATACCTTGGAATCTTTATAAAATGCAGATTCCTGGCCTTCACCAATGCCTTGATTCTTAGAGGATGGGATCCAGGAATCAGTATTTTAAACAGGCATTCCCAGGTGACTCCTATATACAGTGTGTTTTAGAACAAATGTTTGAGTGGAAAGGTTCAGCAGTTCAGCAGAGAGATTTAAAGTGTAAAAATAAATTGATATTTTGTGCAAGATTTTAGAAATGTAAGAGGGGTTAATGAGTTAAATAAAATCAGTTCATGGATGATTTTTATGTTTTAAAATTTTGACATTGGGGAGAAATGACATGGATAGTTTTGTGTGAGTTTTATTTATTTTGCCGTCTTTAAGTTTTTTTGTTTAATTTCAAAAATAATACTTTTTTTTTTGCCATAAATCTCTTTCTTTTTTTTTTTAATCTTTTTTTTTTTTTTTTTGAGGAGTTTTTGCTGTAGGGTGTGTGTGCCAGAAAGACAGAGAGAGACAGAGAGACAGAAAGTGAGAAATCACCCCCCCAGGGGGGATGACCACATCGCAATCCCTTCTCCTTCATTCTCCCAAGATCTTGGGCACGCATGCACACATGCCTTGCGTGAGTTTAAGCCACCAGGTCCAGGACTCGAACTGCAGTCAACTACATGGGAGTCCAGCGACATAGCCATTATGCCAACTGCTGGTCCCTCTTTCTTCTTTTTTTAAGAGAGATATTTGCTGTAGGCCACATGTGCGTGCCAGGGAGACAGACAGAAAGTGAGAAATCACCCCCTGGGGGGATGGCCATGCTGCAATCCCTTCTCCTCCATTCTCCTCAGGATTTTGGACACTCATGGAAAAGCACCGGCATGAATTTTAAGCTACCGGGTCAGGGACTCAATCTGTGATCGGCTCTGTGGGAGTCCAGTGATGTAACCATCACACAATTTGCTGTTCTCCTGCTGTGAATTTCAACTAAGAATTGTATCAAGTAAATCCTGGAAGTGCTTCCTAGTTGTCATCCTTCTCTCTCTGAGAACAGCTTTGTGTGTTTCCTAAAGTTTCTGTATGTAAAAACATACATAGAAGTCCTCCCACCCTACACATTGTGCAGTATCATGATTTTACACACACAAGACAAATCATTACATATGGGAAGGGCACCCTGGAAAGAATGAGTTAGATTGGGGCCAGCAAGTGGCACGATGGTAAGGCACTGGATGCTCCCACATGGCCGATCATGGTTTGAGTCCTGGATCTGGTGACTTGCTTTCTCACTTTCTTTCTCTCTCTCTCTCTCTGTGTGTGTGTGTGTGTCTTTCTCTGGTCAAATTAAAAAATAAATGAGTGAATAAATAAAAAATTAAATAAATCTTTAAAAACAAGAATGAGTTACGTTAAAACTTCTTTTAATCATGTGAATAAAAGACTTCCTTTCTAGTAAAATGTTCATATTTATGGAGTGATTCTTAAAGGAGAGATAGTGAGAAAGTGAGAAATCACCCCCCAGGGGAGATTTCTTTCATATCTTATTTTCATTGCCCAGGATATCACCTAGCACAGACTAGATTTCTGGAAATATTTTTGGAATGAATTGGAGAATTTGGTCTGCTTACTCCAGGAATAAATTTTTTTAGAATACCTACACATTAGGTGGACTGAATTTCTCCATCTTATTTTGTGTATTCTTTTCTCAGTATTTCTAAGTATTGAGCAATAATAAGAGTGAGATGATATCCCTTGATAAGAATCTGTGGTAGAGTTCTGTATTTTGAATTTAGAATAGGCCCATATACCCTAATCATTATCTAGACTTAAACTAATTTTGTTTTTCTTTTGTGAAAAAATTGAAGTACAGGCAGGGACGTGCTCCTGAGTGACAGACAGTATAAATGTCTCTTGAAATAAGCTATAGTCTTCTCAGGAAGTAATGTAGCATAGGCAGTTGAATTGAGGCTATTAAACATAATTCTGTTATCTTACGTATTAAAGCAGATAGAGCCAAAAGGTAGCTTCATTTCAGTCACTGAAAATGTCACAGACATACTCATAGAACATTAAACTACAGTGTATCTTCCGTAAAAAACAAGTTGCAAATATGTGACTATGTTGGCTTATCACATATTGAAAGCTGATGAGCGATATTTAATTCTAACAAAATTACCGATCATTGTGACTCATTTGAGGGTACTGCCTTTTATTACCATAAGTTAAAGAGGCTGTTGGGTGAACACCAAAACAGGCCAGCCCTGTAGCATAGTGCTTAGTCCCTATGCTTAAGGAGCCAGATCCCAGACAGCCAAACACGGTTTGATCCTAGCCATGGCAGCTTGAAAGACATACTGGACATATGTACGTGTGTGCCTAAAATTCTGATGGAATGGAAAAATGAAAACGGATTGTGTCATGGTCATGTGCCATTGGAGAGTGCTTTTTCTCTGGTAAGCACATGTGTACTTTGGCAACTAAAAAAATACATATGATAGTTGAACGTTTAAAAGTATGTTAGTATTTATTTCAATTAATTCCCTAGAAACAACTATAGTAATATCATTAAAAGTCCTGACTGTGGCATTAAGTGGCCTGGGTTCATATTCCACTTGTGATACTAGCTGTGTTATTTTGACCAAATCACCTTTAGCTTTGCTCTTCTCAACATAATATTGGCATAGTAATAGTAGCCTACTTCATAAGGATGATCAAATGAAAGAATGCATGGTGGCTGACTCATAGCCAAAGATTAGCTGTCATTATTCTTAATATTATTTTTACTTATTTACCTTGTTTAGAATTGTATTCCCATTGGAGAGCAGCTTCAGTCGGTTTTGGGAAGTACTGGATACAAGCATATGATTGCACTACAGTCATCATCTACTTCAGAAGTCTTAGACAAATCATCTTCCACACCTTTTCCTTTTAGAACTGGACTGACATCTGGAAGCATAACTGAAAACTTAAAAGCTTACATTGATAAAAGCACCCAGCCACCTGGTGAAGGAAATACTACAAACCTTGATGAATGTAAAATTGTGCCACAAAACCATTCTCTTCTTGAAAATGATCTTAAGAATGCGGTATCCTCTTTCTTACCAAAGAAAGGAAGTGACAACTCAAATATACCTAACTCTGAGCTGCTGCCTTTTCTCCAAAACCTGTGCAGTCAAGTTAACCACCTTCGTGTAGGACATAATGCTGAGTGGCAGGAAAATACTGCCAAGCCCAGAGAAGGCATTGTTGGTGTTGGGTAAGTCTTTTATTCTAAGATTCTAAGGTGTGAGAACCAGTTGAATCAGAGAAGTAGATTTGTCTCAATGAGAATGTCTTGAAAATCTGTTTACAGAGAAAATTTTAGTAGCTTTTACATTTTATCACTAATATGCTTTTAGAGAATAAATACAGAGAGAATGAATTGTTTTCAGAGACATTCCTGTAACTGGAGGGTGTTGCACACTTTTCAGGCATTTTATGGATGGAGTTACAAGAATGAGATAGAAGGATAGAAGGTTATTTGTATGAATAGGCAGTAGTTTTGAGAACCATAATATGTACATTTTTTGCCTGATTGTAATAAATAGGTCATCAAAACAGATATTCTTTATATATCTTGTTAGGCCCAGGCTAATTTTGGAGTCATCAAAAAATATATTATGATCATTATTTTTAGTGTATAAGCCTTTTTCACCTTGTCTAATAATTTTAATATTTTGCAATTCTGGCTTGATGGAGAGGTGGCTGAATACTTACTATGTTCCCTATCCTTTATACAGATATTATGTGTTGAAAATATTGCACTAGATTGGAATTCAGGATTTTAATCATAGCTTTTTCTTAACTATTTTTGCCTTATTTTTTAAAACTTTTGATTTAGATTTTTTCATATTTAAAATGAGGTATTTGTGGGACAAGCAGATGGCATAATGGTTATGTTGCTGAACTCCAATGTAGTTGGTCGTGCTTTGAGTCCTGGACCTGGTCGCTTAAACTCACATGGGTGCATGTATTTGCATGCCCAAGATGCTGAGAGGAGAATGGAGGAGGATGGTTTACAGTATGGCCATCCCCCAGGGGAGTGATTTCTCTCTTTCTGTCTCTCTGTCTCTGTCTTTCGGGTGAGCACATGCGCTCTATAGCAAAAATCTCTCTATTTAAAAAGAAAGAAAAAGAGGTATTTGTATGGGTTGACTTTTTTTTTTTTTGTGCTGTGCATATAAGGTTTTAGACAGAGTTTTCTTGTGTCATGGTTCTCCTGCCTTAGCTTCCTGTGTAGCTGAGACTGTAGACATTTGCCACTGCACATGGCTTTCCTTTTTCTTTTAGAGTGGTCCAAGAATCAAGCTTGGGCATCCCATGTGGTTTGATGTGTCTAGTAGCATCCAACATTTGCTACTTTGGTTGGGCCTAGTTGAATTTTTTTTTTTTTTTTTTAAGTTTTTTTGCAACAGGGCACATGCACTGAGGAGAAAGAGAAAGAAAGTAAGAAATCACCCCCACCAGGGGGTGCCCACAATTCCTTCCTTCCTGTTCTCCTCTTGGGGTTTTGGGCTTACACACACATGTGCCTGATGTAATTTTCAAGTCACTGAGTCTGAGTTAACCATGTGGAATCCTTAACTTCCACGCCACCTGCTGGTCTCTGGTTGAAATTTGTTAAGGTTTCCCAAAGTGTTGAATTGTTTCTTAAATTATATCTGATGGTTGAGGCAAAGATATAGTACCATTTGATATGATACTCTATGTAGAGGAAATATCTAAGGCAATTCTATTTTGATGATTACTTTAAATGTAAATGATCTAAATTCACTGAGATTTATATAATAGAGTGAATTAAAAAGAACACAATCCAATTATATGTAGTTGACAAGGCACTTCAAATATGACATAGATAGGTTGAAAGTAAAATGATAATGTTGTGAAAACATTAATTCCCCCCTAGTCCCAAAAGAAACCCAGATAAAAATAGGTTTTAGAGGAGAGAAATTTACTAGAGATAAAGAAGGGCATTGCGTAATGCCAGAAAGACATAATGACAGGGGCCAGTAGGTGGGATGCTGGTGCTAGACTCCCACATGGCTGACCACGTTCAAGTCCCAGACCTAGTGACTTGCTTTCTTGCTTTTCCTTTCTCTGTGTATCTCTCTTGTGTCAAATAAAACAAACAAACAAACAAACAAACAAACAAAAAACCCAAAAAAAACCCAAATGGAATTAAATAAATAAATAATTATTTGATTAAAAAAAAGACATAATGACATAGCAATCCTAATGTACATGTATCAAACAACAAAGATTCAAAATAGACAGAGCAAGGGAGCAGCAGTTAGTGTAATGGCTATGTCGCTGAACTGCCATGTAGTTGACCGTGGTTCAAGTCCTGGACCTCGTGGCTTATACTTACGCCAGGCATCTGTGCGTGCGTGCCCAAAATCCCGAGAGGAGAATGGAGGAGAAGGGATTGCGGCGTGGCCATCCTAGGGGGTGATTTCTTGCTTTCTGTCTCTCTGTCTCTCTGCACGTGCCCTGTAGCAAAAACCTCTCCAAAAAATAGGCAAAGCAAAAATAAAAATGGTTAGATCCACAGGGAGAAATATACATATCCACAATTATAATTGAGAACTTCAAACACCCCATTCTATTAGAAGTACAGAAAAGATAGAGAAGAACTTGAATAACACTATCAACAAACAGGATGAAGTTGACATTTATAGAACACTCCCCTTAACAATAGCAGAATACATCATTCTTTTCAAGCACCCATGGAACATTCACTGAGATAGAGCAAACATCCACAAATTAAAAAGAATTGAAATTATGCGCAAAATATTCTCTGACCATAAAATCAAACTAGCAGTCAATAAACAAAAGACAACAGGAAAAAAAAATCAAACTAGTAGTCAATAAACAAAAGACAACAAGAACATTTCCAAACCCTTAGAAACTGTGTATTTCTAGATAAACCGGGGTCAAAAAGGAAGTCTCAAAGACTGGAAAAACAAGCAAACAACAAAAAACAAACTACCAAAATTTATTAGATGCAACTGGCAGGCAAATTTTCACACCTAATGAGAATATTAGAAAAACAAGATCAATCTCAATTATTGTAGTAACCTAAATTCTTCCTTCAAAAACAAAAAGCATAACACTAGGAAAAAAAGAGCAAACCTAGAATAAGTGGAAGAAAGAAAATTGTAACAGCAGAAATAAATAAATAAATTGTAAGAAACAAGACAAGGATGTCCTCTTAATGTATTTATTAAACATAGAAGTTCTAGCTATTGCAGTTAGACAAGAAAATGAAATAAACTGAATACAGATTATAAAGGAAGAAAGAAAACTGTGCTTATTTGCAGATAGCAATGTGGTCAATGTAGACTATCCCAAGAAATACACAAAGGAAAAAAAAAACAAAACTTTAGACCTGTGAGTTCAGCAAGGTTGCCAGATAGAAGATGAAAATCAGTTGCTTATCTCTGTATTAACAATGACATGTGGAAACTAAAATTAAAATCACAATTTCTTTTATAAAACTATTGTGAACAATGAATTATAAAATTAAATGTCAACTTCCTAGTATGTAAGAGTATATACTATTCTTCTTCCTAGTAAGAATAAAAGTAAATTTTGAACTTAAAAGAGACAAATTCACAATATTATTTACAACTGTTCCAAAGAAAATGAAATGTGTAGGTGTGAACCCAATGACACATGTATAGAATCTGTATGTTAGAAATTACAGAATTCTGACAAAAGAAGTCACAGAAGATCTAAATAAATCAAAAGGCATACTATGTTCATGAATTGAGTAGTCAACATAGCAAAGTTGTCACTTGCTCATTGATAGGCAGGCTTGATGTAATTCATATAAAATTCTCACCAAGATTTTTTGTAGACACACATAATTTTTAAAATGATGTGACAAGGTAAATAGCTAACAATGTCTTTAAAGAAAAGAAAAAGAGAGGAATCACTCTTTTCAATGTATAGAGTGAGAGTACTCAATACTGTAGTATTGAGGAAAAATAGACATATACAGATTAAAGGAACATAACAGAGGGCCAGAAACAGACCCTCAGTTAAGACAAATATGCTTAATTGATTTTTGACAAAAATTGTAAAAAACAGCTCAATGGAGAAAAGAAATACTTTCAGAAAATGGTGCTGGGAACCAGCAGTTAGCGTAATGGCTGGCACTGGACTCCCACGTAGTCGACTGTGGTTCGCGTCCCGGACCCAGTGGCTTAAAACTCACACCGGGCATGTGTGTGCATGCCCAAGATCCCGAGAGGAGAATGGAGGAGAAGGGATTGTGGCGTGACCATCCCCCCTCAGGGGTGATTTCTTGCTTTCTGTCTCTATGTCTCTGTCTGGCGAGCGCATGCACCCTATAGCGAAAACCTCTCCAAAAAAAAAAAAAAAAAAAAAGGAATAAAAAATGGTGCTGGAGTGATTGGATAGTCATAGGCTGTGGATATTCTATAATATAAATTTTGATCTAAAACTCATGTCTAATACAAAAATCAACCCAAAATGAATTATAGATTTAAATGATCTTTTAGATGGGAACAGGAGAAAATCTTCAGCAGCTAGGAGTTGGAGAAGAGCACTTTTATATGACATCAAAAGCACTATTCAGGGACCAGCAGTCAGCATAATGGCTATATTGCTGGACTCCCACGTAGTCGACCGCGGTTCGCGTTCCGGACCCGGTGGCTTAAACTCATGCCGGGCGCGTGTGCGTGCGAGCCCAAGATCCCAAGAGGAAAATGGAGGAGAAGGGATTGCGGTGTCGCCATCTCCCCTGGGGGCTGATTTCTTGTTTTCTATCTCTCTGTCTCTCTCTCTGTTGGGCGAGCACATGTGCCCTATAGCAAAAACCTGTCAAAAAAAAAAAAGAAAAAAGCACAATTCATAAAGGGAAAGTAATACATGGGAGTTAAAGGTTAAAAACTCTCTGAAAGACCCTATAAAGAGGATGAAAATACAAACTACAGATTGGGAGAAAATATTTGCAAACCAAGTATCTGGCAAATGACTCATACTTTGAATATATTAAGAACTCTGAAAGTTGTACAAAAAATCATTTAGAAAGTGGAAAAAAATGTGAGATATTTTACCAAAGAATACAGATTGTATCTACAGATGATATACAAATGAAATATGGACATGAAAAAATATTTAACACGAATAACCATCAGGAAATACCAGTTAAGACCATGATGAGATGTCTCTATAAACCCATTTGAACAACTAAAGTAAAAGTGTCACTCAGGATGAATGACAGCAGCCAGATAGCGCCCAGCTTCGTGAAGCCTGTAGGTGCTCCATGGCCTTTGGTATCTTGGCAGGTCCTGGAGCCAAGATACCAAAGAAGAAAGTCAGCTCAGTTGAAGGGATAGTGAAGGAGGAACACAAGGAAAGATCTGTGAGTTTGTCAGATAATTCTGTTCCTGTAAATGTGAAAATGAAGCCAAAAAAGATAATAGGAAGGAATAACTCTTCACACAGAAAAATGCAAACAAAAAGGAAAAAGGGAGCAAAGGGAAAGTAGACTGACATGGCTAACTAAGAATCTGAAGATTTACAAATCCACAGAACGTGGAAAAACTAAAAATGAGTACAACATCTAATGAAGCAGGAGAGAAAGAAACCACTTGTTATGACTTCATATATGTTTTGTTTAATTCAGAGGTTTTTTTTTTTTTTTTTTTTTGCCATAGGGTGCATGTGGTTACAGGAGAGAGACAGTAAGTGAGAGAGTGAGAAATCACTCCCTGGCAGATGACCATGCCACAATCCCCTCTTCTCCATTCTCTTCTCCAGATACTGGGTTTGCATGCACATACACCCAATGGGATTTTCAAGCCACCAGTTCTAGGACTCGAACCATAGTTGGCTGTATGCGAGTCCAGCACTTTAACCATCACACCACTTGCTGGTCCCTAGAGGGTGTTTTTTTTTAATGAACTATTTGTCCAGATTTTTTTTTCTTTTTTTTTGAGAGGTTTTTGCTTTAGGGCGCGTGCACTCTCCAGACAGACAGACAGACAGAGACAGAGAGACAGAAAGTGAGAAATCACCCCCCAGGGGTTTTGGCCACGTCACAATCGCTTCTCCTCCATTTTCCTCTTGGGATCTTGGGCTCGCACGCACACGCGCCCGGCATGAGTTTAAGCCACCGAGCCATCAGGTCCAGGACTCAAACCGCAGTTGACTACGTGGGAGTCCAGCGACATAGCCATTACATTAACTGCTGGTCCCTTAATCAACTATATGTAAGTACAAATATCTTAGTAGCTCTAGAAAGTTTTGATTTTTTTTTTTTGACTTTTAAAAGAATTTTTGCCTTAGGGCACATGTACTCATTGGAGAGAGGTAAAGAGGGATAGTAAGGAGCTGGCAGGTGGTAGGGTGGTTAAAGGCACTGGATTCCCACACAGCCGACCATGGCTCGAGTCCCGGACCTGATGGCTTGCTTTCTCACTTTCTCTCTGTCTCTCTCTCTGATCAAACTGGAAAATAATAAATAATAAATAAACTTAAATAAAAAATTCTTAGAAAAACAGTGAGTGAGAGGGAAAATATGAAATCACCTCCAGAGGGGATGGCCACACTGCAATCCCATCTCCTCTATTCGCCTCTTGGGATTTTGGGCATGTACACACATATATCTGGTGTGATTTTCAAGTTGCCACGTCTGGTATTCGAACTATGGTCAGCTATGTAGGAGTGCCAGCCTCCTTGACCACTATGCCACCTGCTGACCCCACTAAACATTTTTAAGAAGCAGAGAATCTCATTTTTAAAAAAATGTAAATGCTCTTTTAAGTTTTTCATTATTTTTTGAAACAGGGTCTCTCTCTTTTGCCTAGGCTAGCCACATACTTGCAGTCCTTCTGCCTCAGTCTCCCAAGTAGCTGGGATTAAAGGTGTGTACACACTGTAACTGGCTATTGGCTCTTTGTTAAGAGGTGAAATCACTTGGTTGTGTACTTTTGATACAGCCAGAAAATAGTAGGATATTGAATTATTATGTTTTAAATGTCAGCTTAAAATTCCATAGGTCAGGGAATAGTTTTCATGTCCTATAGTATAAAGCATATTAAGTGGCAGTTTGGAGGCACAGGCATAATATGTCTTAAACATAAATTCTTTTCCCATGTTATTTTTTTGTGTAGAATTATTTCTTAGAGAAAATCACTCCTTGGGACCAGCAGTTAGCGTAATGGCTATGTCGCTGGACTCCCATGTAGTCGACCGCAGTTTGAGTCTCGGACCCAGTAGCTTAAACTCATGCCGGCCTGTGTGCATGCTTGTCCAAAATCCTGAGAGGAGACTGGAGGAGAAGGGATTGTAGCATGGCCATCCCCCTTGGGGGATGATTTCTTGCTTTCTATGTCTCTGTCTGTCTCTGTTTTTCTGTCCAGCGCATATGCCCTGTAGCAAAAACCTCTTCAAAAAAAAAGAAAATCATTCCTTGATCTTTACTCTCCATGTCAGAATTGTGTGTACTCTGTAGCATCTTTACTTATGGCAGTTCAGTTTCCCTAAAAATTATGTTGATGTGCTGTGAAATACTGACAATATGACATTATAGTATTTATAATGGTATACTGTGAGTTGATGAGACAATGTAACATTTTATCAACATTTGAAGATATTGGTACTTAATATCTTAAAAAAATTTTCCTCTAAATTTTAAGCCTAGAAAGTTACTGGAATAACTGTTAAGAATCACAACACATGACTTTTCAGATCTTTAGCACATATGTTCAGAATTGTGTACAAATTGAGATGTCTGTACTTTTATCCTCAACACAACCAATTCAGTCTCAACTATGAGTGAAAAAATCTGATAGTGACAAATGCTGGCAAAGATGCGGAGAATTGTTTAAGATCACTCGTATGTTGCTAGTGACAATGCAAAATATATAACCACTTTGGAAAAGTTTGCCAGTTTCTTAAAAAACAAAACAAAACACACATATCATACAATACTACTGGGCATTTATCCCCAGGAAATTAAAACTTACATTCATGCAAAAATCTGTGTAATAGCATTCATAGCAGCTTTTCTGTTTTCCTCATTTTCTTTTTAATTTGCTAGAGGGCTTGTGTACTTGCCAGAGAGAGAGCGAGAATGAGAGACAGAAAACAAGAAAGCATCCCTCCTTGGTCATTCCTGCCGCCCTCCTCCTCTTGGGATTTTGGGCATACACGCATATCACACGTACCCAGTGTGTCTTTCCTCCTTCAAGCTGCCACTCTAGGACTTGAACATTGCAGTCAGCCACATGAGATTCAGCTGCTTTCACATTTTGTGAATGTACATAATCTTTACGTAATTGAAAAGAAACATTTTATTACATTTTAACTTGATTAGCATTTTCTAGACTGGTGTTTCTCAAATGTTTCTGTCTCAGGATTTCTTTCTAATCTAAAAAATGGTTAAGGAACCCAAAGGGTATTTGTCTATGACAAGTATATAAAATATTTATTCATTTAAAAATAGCAATAATAAATTAATTGCATATAAACATAATTTTTATTAAAAATCAATTATGTTTTTAAAAAATTAATGAGTAGAATGATGCCTGAAATTTATACAGATCTATGCTAACTTTCTCATGTCTGCATCTGCATTGTAGTAGATATAATCCATTATAAACAGGAAGAGCACAGTGAAAGTACTCAGAACAAACTAAGTTAATCTCTTAAAAAGTCAATATTTACACCTTAAACCTACTACTTCAAGAAATTTTAGATAACAGGAAAATATATCAACACTTATTCTATTAGCAAGACCAATGACTAACAGGTTGTGTAGCCTCTGGAAAATACCACTGTATGTTCATGAGAGGATGAGGGCAAAAAAGACAATATCTTACTCTAGGGTGTTACTAAGAAAACATTGTGACCTCTTAGAACCCCTAAAAAGAGCTCCATAGTTATAGACATTGCTCAGAATTGCCATCATAGAGTATAATGTGAACTTTGTTTTCAAAACTGATGTGCTTTTTGGACCAGCAGATGGCGAAATGATTACATCACTAAACTCCCATGTAGTCCATGTGACTTGAGTCCAGGAACCCAGTGGCTTAAACCTTGATCCTGGCCTTTGTGCGTGTGTGCCCAGGAGGAGAATGGAGAAGGGACTGTGGCATAGTCATCCTCACCCCGGGGGGTGAGGGCGGTGATTTCTTGCTTTCTGTCTGTCTGTCTCTGTCTCTGTCTGGCAAGCGCTCGCGCCCTATAGCAAAAAAACCTCTCCAAAAAAAAAAAAGAAAGAAAAAGAAAAAAAAGAAACTGATGTGCTTTTATTTATTTTGTTTTTAATCTTTAATTTACTCATCCCAGTTAAATTCCTCAGTTTCTCTATATTGGAGTAAAGAACTTTTCAGTACTTTCATAAGGTTTTTTGTACAAAAGAAGATAAAACTTTAAATTCATTGGTTGTTGAGGGAAGTACTTGGAAGATAGATATAGATATATTGACCTTTTAAAAAAAATGGACAAAATCAGTTTGATTTAGAGCTCAATACCAAAAATACTTTTCCAGATACTTTGAGGGTTCACTTTAAAAAAAAAAAAGAATTATTTAATTTCATTTGTTATTGTAATCAATATTATTATTTTAATTTGACCAGAGAGAAAGAGAAAGGGAGAACAAGAAAGCAAGTCGCCAGGTCTGGGACTCGAACCATGATCAGCCACAGGGGAATCCAGCGCCCTTAACCAGCATGCCACCTGCTGACACTGAGAGTCCACTTTCGTATTCTCATTTCATTTGTGTACTCATAAATAAGGAAATAAAGAAGTATGAATATGAGAAAAAAGAAATATGAATGTGTTCAAGACAGTGGTCACCTGTTGTGTATATACATTAGAACTTGGAAATCTGTTGTAAGGAGACAGTACAGTTGGAAAGACAAATTTCAGCAATGCATATTGGCTGCTTATTGCATAGCTGGGTTGTTTTTGTTACAATATTGTATTAGCAAAAATTGATATATTTCTTAAAATTTATTTTTAGAATGGAAGAGCAACCTGTTTGCTCCTACTTAGAAAAGATTCTTTCTAAAAATATGGAACTTATGGAAAAGAAACTCATGGACTACATTGATCAGCAGATATATAAACTCCAGGAACACATAGATGATAAGGTTGCTTTATTAATGGACTTGCTACAAAATCCCAACTCCCTATCCACTGGGATGCCTCTAAGACATTATGACTCTGGAGAAAGACTTTCAAATGGAGAAAGATAAGTGCTCAACATATACAACGTACTGCAGATATTTATTACATATTTATACAAAACCACAATATAAAAAAGTTTATAAAAAGCAAGTATTTATTAATAATGTCCTTTTAAGGATCATCATTTTACATAAAGTGACCTCAGTCTTCATTTTTATTGCACTTGTTATTGTGAATATAGTATTGTACACTAAGAATTAACTTGATACAAATTATTTTTGCTAGCAGTATTTTTCATTCAGGAAATTTATACATACTTCCGTGTTGTGTATTTGAAGTGTTAAGGATTTTTATTGCAGTTCCTTACTTTATGTTGTATGTGTTTTATTAAAGTACAGTTTTGTACAAAGACCTTATTTCATAGCTGTAGGGGTATGAGAAGAACACTTAGAATATTGATTTGACATATATTTTTTAAAAATGGATTTTTTTTAGAAACCTGAGTGCTTAGACTTGGAACCTTTTATTTTAGATCACCAACTTATATTTTATAGTTTATTTTAGAACAAAATTAGATAATGTTTGGCATGTATAAAATTAGTTCACATTCTGGATATTAATTTTATGTTCTGTTTCATTATAGCTGTAGATAGGAAAGTGAAAATTAGAACTGGTCTATTCCTTGTTAAGATTATTACTTTGGATTTAGTGTTTGATTAAATGGGGAAGTCATCTTGTTTTATCCCAACAAACTCAGAAAGTATAAGGAAATTTCTCATGTATTTGAGCTGATACAAATTGTCCTTTCCAAGCCCTTTTTTCTTTTCTTTTCTTCTTCTCTCTCTCTCTCTCTTTTTTTTTAATATTGAAAAACCATTTATTTCACTGGAAAGAAAAAAGCAATCCAATCCTATAGGTCTACCTGTGGGCCAAAAAGAGCCTGTTTCCCATTCATATTCTATTCTCCAAGCCTTTCTTGATATGTTTAAGATGTGAAATGCTGAAAGTCCACATTAAAGAATTAAGGCATGCAAATCAAGGAGATTGCAATTCTTTCTGGCAGGTTTAATTTTTAGAAGCTTTGTTATATATGTGGTAAGTGTGATGTATTTGCATCTAAGAGATAAAGAGTATCCACTTAGAAACTACTCATCTGAAATAAATAGAAACATTTTCTTTTCATCTAATATTTGCTTAAGATATTTATTTTTATAAAAAAGATTTTATACTCATTTAAAATTTTGGCGAATTTCTTTAACATGAGAACTAACTTAAATAAAACATTTGTTCATGGCAACCCATTTTCTGGGACATCTCCCTTCTTTTTGGGAGCTATGTTTTCCTTCCTTCTACCTCAATAAACTCCCCATCTTGCTTTACTCTTTCTGTGTGTCCACGTCTCTAATTTTTCATGAGTATGATACAAGAACCTGTGTCCTCCTGTGAGTGCTGGGCTCGATCACCCCATGCATCCCTGTGTTCCTCTGACATATTTTGTTGCTTTGGCCAGGAATCCATCTGGAAAGCAGAGCCTGAGATAAGAGATAAGCATGGCCTTTTGGCTCTCTGAGTAGTACTATGGTGGTTGGTAAGAATAAGCACCTTACAAAAGGCGGCAAAAAGGGAGCCAAAAAGAAAGTGGTTGATCCATTTTCTATAAAAGACTGGTATGACATGAAAACACCTGCTTTGTTCGACATAAGAAATATTGGAAAAAAACACTAGTTACCAGGACTCAAGGAACCAGAATTGTGTCTGACGGCCTTAAGGGCCATGTGTTTGAAGTGAGCCTTGCGGATCTGCAGAATGGCGAAGTTGCATTTAGGAAATTCAGGCTAATTACTGAGGATATTTAGGGCAAAAACTGCCTGACTAACTTCCATGGCATGGATCTCACCTGTGACAAAATGTGTTCCATGGTCTGGGAACCAGCAGTTAGTGTAATGGCTATTTCGCTGGACTCCCACGTATTCGACCACAGTTCGCGTCCTGGACCCGGTGGCTTAAAACTGACGCTTGGCGCATGTGCGTGCATGCCCAAGATCCCGAGAGGAGAATGGAGAAGGGATTGCGGCGTGACCATCCCCCCTGGGGGGGTGATTTCTCGCTTTCTGTCTCTATGTCTCTCTCTGGCTGGCTGGCGAGTGCATGCGCCTTATAGCAAAGACCTCTCCAAAAAAAAAAAAAATGTGTTCCATGGTCAAAAAATGGCAGACAGTTATTGAAGCTCATGCCAAGACTACCGATGGTTATTTGCTTTGTCTCTTCTGTGTTGGGTTTACCAAGAAACGCAACATTCAGATATGGAAGACCTCTTATGCCCAGCATCAGTAGGTCTGCCAGATATGGAAGAAGATGATAGAAATCATGACTGAGACGTGCAGACAAATGACTTGAAAGAAGTGGTCAATAAACTGATTCCAGACAGCATCGGAAGATACTCATTTAAAATTTTGGCGAATTTCTTTAACATGAGAACTAACTTAAATAAAACATTTGTTCATGGCAACCCATTTTCTGGGACATCTCCCTTCTTTTTGGGAGCTATGTTTTCCTTCCTTCTACCTCAATAAACTCCCCATCTTGCTTTACTCTTTCTGTGTGTCCACGTCTCTAATTTTTCATGAGTATGATACAAGAACCTGTGTCCTCCTGTGAGTGCTGGGCTCGATCACCCCATGCATCCCTGTGTTCCTCTGACATATTTTGTTGCTTTGGCCAGGAATCCATCTGGAAAGCAGAGCCTGAGATAAGAGATAAGCATGGCCTTTTGGCTCTCTGAGTAGTACTATGGTGGTTGGTAAGAATAAGCACCTTACAAAAGGCGGCAAAAAGGGAGCCAAAAAGAAAGTGGTTGATCCATTTTCTATAAAAGACTGGTATGACATGAAAACACCTGCTTTGTTCGACATAAGAAATATTGGAAAAAAACACTAGTTACCAGGACTCAAGGAACCAGAATTGTGTCTGACGGCCTTAAGGGCCATGTGTTTGAAGTGAGCCTTGCGGATCTGCAGAATGGCGAAGTTGCATTTAGGAAATTCAGGCTAATTACTGAGGATATTTAGGGCAAAAACTGCCTGACTAACTTCCATGGCATGGATCTCACCTGTGACAAAATGTGTTCCATGGTCTGGGAACCAGCAGTTAGTGTAATGGCTATTTCGCTGGACTCCCACGTATTCGACCACAGTTCGCGTCCTGGACCCGGTGGCTTAAAACTGACGCTTGGCGCATGTGCGTGCATGCCCAAGATCCCGAGAGGAGAATGGAGAAGGGATGGCGGCGTGACCATCCCCCCTGGGGGGGTGATTTCTCGCTTTCTGTCTCTATGTCTCTCTCTGGCTGGCTGATAGCAAAGACCTCTCAAAAAAAAAAAAATGTGTTCCATGGTCAAAAAATGGCAGACAGTTATTGAAGCTCATGCCAAGACTACCGATGGTTATTTGCTTTGTCTCTTCTGTGTTGGGTTTACCAAGAAACGCAACATTCAGATATGGAAGACCTCTTATGCCCAGCATCAGTAGGTCTGCCAGATATGGAAGAAGATGATAGAAATCATGACTGAGACGTGCAGACAAATGACTTGAAAGAAGTGGTCAATAAACTGATTCCAGAC